AGTAAGGATCATCTCTTATTGTCCCAATGTTACTGCAGAAGGAAACCTAAACTATTAAACTAACTTTATTTATACTGGATACCTCTATCAGTTCTAAAGTGTTCTTCCTAGAGGTTCAGTAAGGATCATCTCTTATTGTCCCAATGTTACTGCAGAAGGAAACCTAAACTATTAAACTAACTTTATTTATACTGGATACCTCTATCAGTTCTAAAGTGTTCTTCCTAGAGGTTCAGTAAGGATCATCTCTTATTGTCCCAATGTTACTGCAGAAGGAAACCTAAACTATTAAACTAACTTTATTTATACTGGATACCTCTATCAGTTCTAAAGTGTTCTTCCTAGAGGTTCAGTAAGGATCATCTCTTATTGTCCCAATGTTACTGCAGAAGGAAACCTAAACTATTAAACTAACTTTATTTATACTGGATACCTCTATCAGTTCTAAAGTGTTCTTCCTAGAGGTTCAGTAAGGATCATCTCTTATTGTCCCAATGTTACTGCAGAAGGAAACCTAAACTATTAAACTAACTTTATTTATACTGGATACCTCTATCAGTTCTAAAGTGTTCTTCCTAGAGGTTCAGTAAGGATCATCTCTTATTGTCCCAATGTTACTGCAGAAGGAAACCTAAACTATTAAACTAACTTTATTTATACTGGATACCTCTATCAGTTCTAAAGTGTTCTTCCTAGAGGTTCAGTAAGGGTCATCTCTTATTGATCCAATGTTACTACAGGAGGAAACCTAAACTAAACTAACTTTATTTATACTGGATAGCTCCATCAGTTCTAAACTATTCTTCCTAGAGGTCCAGCAAGGATCATCTCTTATTGATCCAGTGTTACTACAGGAGGAAACCTAAACTAAACTAACTTTATTTATACTGGATAGCTCTATCAGTTCTAAATTGTTCTTCCTAGTGGTCCAGTAAGGATCATCTCTTATTGACCCAGTGTTACTACAGGAGGAAACCTAAACTGAACTAACTTTATTTATACTGGATAGCTCTATCAGTTCTAAACTGTTCTTCCTAGAGGTCTAGTAAGGGTCATCCCTTATTGATCCAGTGTTACTACAGGAAGAAAGCTAAACTAAACTAAGTTCATTTATATTAGTTTTAATTTATCAGTTCTAAACTATTGTCCTTATTCCGTAGATCCTTAATAGAGGTCCGAGGCGTAAGATCATAGGCATTATTTGTTTACTGTTACCACAGGATGAAACGGGAGCACCCAGAGAAAACTTGCAATGTTCGAGTCAAACTGAAGACGTGTGTCATTACCTATTTCGGCATCCTCATCAACGCTGAAACTGTTAGGAAGACCTTCATAGTACGGGAGTTGGTTAGTCGTCTGTCCTAAAGTTAAGAAGACGAAAACATGTGAATTATTATAAGCAAACGAGTGGAGGTTTATTAGTTTATAAGTGTTTAATGCTCCACTTTATATTAGGGTAACATAGCTGAAAGCGATGGACGGAAGTTTTAAAAACAGTTCAATGTTTACGGAAAGGTAAGTGCATGGCTGTTGATTCGCGTTTTAACGATCCTCAAAAATAGCCACCCTGCTGAAAACTCTCCCTTCCATCCGGATGATCTGTTTCCAAAACAAAGAAAATATATTTCGTCTGATAACCAGTCTGCACAATTTGGCACAAACGTAAACTATCGATTCTAGTTGATCTATATTTTCCTACTCAGACAAATTTGTGTGCGTAGATCACGTTGACGGATCGCGACGATAACAAGACATCTGCATGTGGATCGCGAGGGATACAATTACCTGAAAAATACGAGCAAGAAATTCGACGTTTCGAGCGACGGCCCTTCGTTGGGAGACCGACAGTCTATGTGTTATAAATACAGCATTAAAGCCGATATTTACACCACACAACTTTTGCCTAAAACTGTCGCATGCAACCTGCTTACAACTTGAGTTGTACTGTGTAAATCAAGCACACAACTCAACTACGTTAGTCTTCACAGTACAACTCAAATTGTGAACAAGTTGCAATAATGCGATTATTTTGGGCAAAAGTTGTGTAGTCTGCATGTAAATCGGCCGTTAGACAGAATATCAGCTAGAAACTATATCAGACACGATTTGTTCGCAGAATCATTGCCAATCACGCTATTCTAGATAGTGTATCAGAAAAATTTGTATGTCTTGTGTTTTTACGAAGACCGTGATCCATTAGATCTTGAAAGATGATCTATCTTCACTATATAAATCGCAAGTTTAAAATGAAAACTGGTAAAGCAAAGGAGAAAAGCCTGGCTACAAGGTTCAGTTTAAAATGCTCAAGGTTCCTCGTGTAACTACAGGAATATTGTTGTCAGCCAGCGCCAACAATTGCTCATGCATGCATAAACTATCCAGGCTATAATTTCATGTCTCATTGATTTCTCCCTCAGACATATAATTCAAAGCAAATACAAACATATATCAAGTACATTATACCAATAGACACGGCTTATATCAGCGACTTCTTGTCAAACTCAGCACCTAAGAGTTTAGGATAGGACTATAGTCCTTCCATATAGAAGCTCTGAGAAATTGGCAACGCCGATTAACATTCGTTTCAAAACATGAATGCGATAATAGTTTTCCGTGTTTGGCCTTATTATCATCTGTTATAAACCTTCAGAACTTCAAGAAGACCTAATACGAAGCCTTATATTTGCCCCAAATAAATTGCCTTGTATAAAACAATCTGAATACAATGCTTGGCAGTTAAAAATCTACCCTTTCGCGTGGTTAAATACGAATTCATCTTGTTGCTATGTTAAACGAGTGCGGCTTTAACATAGCATTCGCAATGTAGGCTAATAGCTCAACTTTAAGACACCTTATAACCACTTTGATATTAACTCTACGAAAAGTTTCCTAACGCCTAACCATTATAAAGCTAGGTTGTATTAATATGACTAATAAACGTACCTGTAATATGCTGTAGCAACGGTAAAAGAATAAGGACAAACACAATTTTAAATTCGGCCATCTTCTTAGAACTTTAATTTCACTTTGAAATAATAGCCGCTATTAGTAGAAGCGCCAACGGCTTCTCAGCAAATTCACAGCGACCGTTTCTGCCCCAAAAACCAAGCTACAAAAAGATTTTAATGTTCATTTCTAAGTTTAGATGTGAAGCACAATTTTGAAAGTGGTTTTGAAAAGCTAGTGGTCGTTTAGTCATTATCCCACACTCGCATGCGACTCCTGTTGTCAAAATAATACGGGTGCCTAACCTCAATTATACACAAGTCACAAAAACGATGATATACAGACGAATTCGAAATGTAATCTATCTAGATAAGGTTTCATCATATTTCACTTACCAGACAGCTAGAAGTTCTGTGGAAAAAAAAACGAGAAAAATAACAAGCCCGTGGCTAAGATATGTCTTCGAAAACTTTCGCTTGTTTAAGGTCAATTTGAAGGCACAGCGGGAATTCTTTTGAAAAATATTGCATGTATAATTGGAACTTATTAATATCCAAGCATACTTTTTGCAAAATTGGACACGTTTTGTTCAAATTCGTGAAGAAACAAGCTGACAAACTAGACGGCTGAAACGCCACTCGAACGCTCTTCGTAATAATTTATCTTCACCTTTCAAAACTATGCGTCATTTATTGATTTTGAGATTTTCATTATCTCGAACGGATGAATAGCTTAAGACAATCCCATGGGAAAAGGCTGAAAATAAACTCAAATCTTTTCGACAATAATCTCTTAAGTATTTGCCCAGAAATTAGCCTAAATATTTCTAGTTTTTAAAGGGTTTTTAGAACACACATTTTGGGGCTATTTACGGCAAAGAAAAGTGAGTCTAGCGACCTTGCATGATTAAGCCGAAACATGTAAATTTGTTATCGAGAATAAAAGCCGAAATTACTTGCACAAATAAATATTCAGGCCCGTTCAATGTTGCTCAAACATCATTGATGCAAAAATGGGACCATTTTGGACTCTCCTTTGAACTTTATGTCGCAATTAATTTTAAAGATTGCAACTTAATACATGTTCTAAAGAGATATTTAGAATATGGTATTGCTACATTTATCTTTAGTATAGAAAACCTTTGAAAACCGAAATAAGGCTTATATTGTAAACCGAAATAAGGCTTATACAGAAAATAAGGCTTATATTGTTTTTCTAACCTCTCTTATATAAATAAGTTCGAACATGTTTGGAGCACCCATTAGTAAGAATGAAATTCAAGAACAAATTCTAAGCGTTTTCTGTCTAGAATTACTAGAATACGCACAACAATTAAATATTTCTTTAATTCTTGTGCGTGCTACCTAGACTTTTGCTGGACATTTTAATCTTTCTATGTAACTAGTTTCAGTATAGCGTTTCGAAAGGGAAAAACACCGAATAAATATTAGCCAAAGCAATACAAATATATTTCGCCATAAATTCAGACGTCTATGTCTATGAACTCTTACAAATGAATTTCTGCAAGTTAAATATTTGCCAGTCGAATTGAAGTTTTAATTAAAATATTTAAACATAGTTATTATTCACAAATGTTGTGGTCCAGTGTAGGTAGAATATATTCTACCGATATAAAGCTGCCGTGGTTTGTGTCTTGGAAAACATTAAAAAACATTCGACGAATCGAATTCGTTTTCGGGTCAGTATAGAGACCAACTTCGCTTCTAAGACTGTTGCTGAGAATGGCCTTCGCTCAAAAACGCCGAAGTGCTTTCAATTTTTTTAGTCCGGTATACGACACAAACCACGGTAACTTATTTCAAATATAAATATGTTTCTAAATAGTTCCTCTCGATGTACATTTAAAATTCGGGACTGCTTAGCAACACGCGTTGTCTGACGTGATACCCCACAGAGTCGCCATGGCAAGGCGTCCCACGCCACCAGCATGAAGCCTGGGAACGTCGCGCGATATCTAAAAGACTGGTACGAGTTTGGAGGATGTTTTGAAGAATGAGCCTCCCGGAGGAGCGCGGCCCTGAGGACGACTATGCATGAATTATGAATGCTCTTTGAAATTGGCTGTTAACAACTTGTAACAAGCTTGATGGCATTATCAGACTTGTTACAAGGTTGTTCGAACAAGTGCGATACAGTCATGATATTGCGAGAATGTTATACAAGGTTGTAACAATATATTGTTATATCATGACTGATGATTGTCCGACTAAAAGACGATTTTGGGACGGTTTGTTCGTCTGGACGACTTGTCCGTCTTCTGATGTGAAAACGGCTAATAACTGTGTTTCATTTTGTACTGTATTGTATTTTGTACTATTTTATTGTTTTGTATAGTTTTAGAATGGTAAGCACCTTGCATGGGACTTTATGTCTCGTTCGTGCTTGATATTGTCCATTTGAGTATTCTACTTATTTCTACATAGAACTGTTGTGTTTAAAACGTTGTAGAATTCTCAATAAAATTGTTAAAATAAGACTGCATCGGACTTGTTGGAGCAACGTACCTTGCAACAAGTCTGATATTGGAGAGGTTAAGATACTCCGGTTTCGGTGTACGTGTACGGGTAGCACTCGTAATTAAGGTGCACATTTTTCGCATTATATCATTGTCTATTGCAAGAAAACAGAAAGAGTATGATCGAATTACAGACGTCAGTAAAACAAGATGACACTACTCGTACCCGTACACCGAAACCAGTGTATTCTATTTTATTTCCATGTAGATAACATTACAGATCCAGATACTACTAAACTCAACAGGATACTGGAATCGTTTAATTTACAACAGCACATCAATGGGCCAACCCACACGAAAGGCCACACCTTAGATTTGATTATAACAAGGAATGAAGATAAATTAGTTACTGGTATCAGAATACATGATCCAGTAATATCAGATCATCTTGCCATACATTGTACATTAAAATTAGAGAAACCACCATTGGAGCAAGCTGAAATTTACTATCGAAAATTAAACAATGTAAACATGAATAGTTTCAATGAAGATCTAAAAGTGCTAGATTTAGATGATGATTATGATTATGATCTCCCAGTCCTTATTGATAAATATGAAAATACGCTGAAAGAAACATTACAGCAACATGCCCCATCTCCGTCCTCTATCACCATGGTACAATGAAGAGATTGATCAAGAAAAAAGAAATCGCAGGAAATTAGAGCGCCGCTGGCGCGCATCTGGATTATGTATTGACAGACAGTTATATGTTAAACAATGTGAGACAGTGAATGCCATGATAAATAATGCTAAGACAACATACTACTCATCGGTTATTTCTAGCAATGCACATAATCAGAAAGTGTTATTTAGTACGGTTGATAAATTACTCCATCGAAAGCCAGAAAAGCGCTATCCAACTGCGTCATCAACCACAGAACTCGTGAATAAATTTGCAGATTTCTTCAGTAATAAGATTACTACTATACGGCAAGAACTAGTCATTGATTCTTCCCACTGTAATCAGCTAAATCAAGAGGAGCAATATGTACAATGCGCTAAATTCATTAACTTTCAAGAAGTCACGGAACATGAAATTAAAAATATTATTGATATAGTTGGAAAAAAATCTTGTGAACTTGATCCAGTTTCCGCAAAAATCTTTCAAAGTTGTCAGAAGACTCTCTTACCTATAATTACTAAGATCAGTAATGAGTCACTTCAGTCAGGTTGTATGCCTGAGATACTAAAAGAAGCCGTGTTGAAACCAAAACTAAAGAAAGATTCGTTGGAATACGAAGAATACACAAATTTTAGACCTATTTCAAATTTAAAACTCCTGTCTAAAGTAATTGAGAAGGCCGCCGCCGGTCAGCTTCTGGAACATTTGGCTAATAACAACCTAGAAGAACCTTTCCAGTCGGCATATAAACGTTT